AAAAAAAAAAAAAAAAAAATTCGCGATACGTATTTTGCATCGAATTTTAATAATTTTCATTTCCAATTTTCTTTTCTCCTTTTGTTTCTTCTTTTAAAATTTTTTTTTTAATTTAATAAATAACGTAAATATTTTTAATAATAATAATAATTAAAATAAATTAATTAAAAATAAATTAAAATAAAAACGATTTTATTATAACTAAATGTAAAATGGCGTCGCCCAATCGACAACTCTTTGATTTGAATTTTTTTTTTTTAAACAAAGGAAAATAAATAAATAAAAACATTAAGTAAATAAATAAATAAATAATAATAATAATGGGAAACAAAGGAAAATTATTTTACGTATGCGAAAAATATATAAATGAATGTAAATTTATGAATGTAAAAAAAAAAAAAAATGGAGAGAGAAATTTTAAAGAAAAGAAAGAAAAAAAATATGGCGATGGTTTTTTTTTTAAAAACACAATTGAATTCTTCTTTCATTTGACTACTAAATAATAATAATAATAATAATAAGTATGTAATTATTTTTATACCATTTTTAAAAACACGATGATAATTACAAGAAAAATAAGTCGTCGGCAAAACTTGTCAACCTTTATATTATGATATTAACAAAAAAAAAAAAAAAACCTCCCCGTATTATGTTTTCTGTATATATTTAAATATTTTATTCGATGACGGAAAAATAAAAAAAAAAAAAGGTACGAAACGTCAGACAAAAGAATGAATCAGTGACAATAAAATGTTTGAGGTGCAAAAAAAAAAAAAAAGAAAATCAAAAGACTAACAACAAAATGGAGGACGAAGAAGACGACGACGAAGAAGAAGATATAGACAATATAATTTATGACATAATTGGATAGACAACGTAACCGATTTTTTGTTTACCTGAAAACCTTATTATTATTATCATCATTTTCTCTCTGGTTTTCTGTTTTCAAATAAACTTTAAATAAAAAACCTTCGGATGGCATACAAAAAAAAAAGCACCGTCGTGATACTTTTTCGAAAGTACTTCGGAATTAGAAATAAAAATTTTTTTAAATAATAATAATAATAAATATATATAATTCGGGGGGAGGAGGGATTTTAACCTAAAATATTTAACATTTAAAACATTTAACCTATTACAAAATATACAAATAATAATAATAATATATATATAATTTAAATACCGTAAAATGTCGAAGTATTTATACTTTTGCGTGTGTGAGTATAAATGAACCCTCCCCCCCCCAAAAAAAAAAAATGAATATTTTTATATTATAATAATAATGTTGCGTAAGAGATAGAGAGAGAGAGAGAGAATAAGGCAGCAGTAGCAGACGACACGAATGTAATTCGATATAAGAAGAACAACAATAACAATAAAGTTATAACGATGAGAAATTATTCATTTGGGAAAATTTAACAATTCATGTATTTTAAATCAAATTTTATTAAATTGTTAAATCCTATAATATAAGTAAAAAATTATATATACTTATGGGATTTTAATATGCATCAAGACGTGGAAAATTCATTTGGGAAATTCGAATTTACATTACATATATATATTTGAACTTTGTTAATATTAACTCTCTCAATTTTTAGTTTCGAAAAAAAATTTATATTAAACGCGTTGTTGGTTGTCCATTTCCCCTCCCCCTCCATCCCCCCATCTCCCTTCTCCTGCCCCCCCATCCGTTAAAATTACGTTTTAATTTAAAAAACAAAAAAAAAAAAAAAAAAAACCTTCGAAAACTAAGTAAAGAAAATAAAATTTTTTAATAACGTCTTTATCATTATTATTTTTAAAACCGGTTAGAATTATTATTATTATTATTATTATTATTTATTTTATTATTCGACGACCAATCCGGTAATTCGTATTAACATAAGTTGTTTAAAATTATCAGATTGAAAAATGAAAACAAGTTTAGAAAATCGTAAAAAAAAAAAATAAAAATAAATAAAAAGAAAAGAACCAATAAAAAAACGTTAAAATAAATCGTAAAAAAAAGTCTGGAGGATCAAAGAAGGCGGTTCTTATTTTTATTCTGCTTTTTTTTTTTTTTGTCTTCTGCTTCTTCTTCTCGGTTTCCCTTCCTCTTTATCGTTGGTTAACAACAAAATGGCATCGATAAAAATTTCATATTTCGACTTCCTTTTTTAATTATTATTATTATTTTAAGGTTTTTTATTTTGAATTATCAAAAAAAGAAATCTTTAAATGAATAGGAAAAAAAAAAAAAAAAACTGCTGTTTAAACAACCTGCCATTTTAGGTTCAACGATAGATAAGTTTCAACCTAAATATATAATTTTGTTTGAAGAGTTTTAGCGCTTTTTTTTTTTTTTTTTTTTTTAATATTTGTTTATGTAACAAAGTCATTTTGTTTAATTTTGTTTTCAAGGTAACGGAAATGAAACGGATTAAAAAATGTTTAAAAACTGGAGTTTAAACAATTTTAAATCAATTAATTCGAGAAAATTTCTGTAGGTGTCTCCATACGTTTCCGGTATATTTTTAACGATTTTTTGAATTGTTTTACTTTATACGAAGGGAAAAGGTAGACTTATTATTTAAATCGATTGTTTTTATATTTTAAAATTTGTCTCGACAAAATTATTGACAAACATTTAACAATAATATTTTCCTTTTTTTAAAAAAAAAAAACTGACTTTTATAATGAAAACAACAAATAAAAATGATTGGCAATGTAAAAGACATTTTTTTTTTTTTATACTAATCCTTTTACAATCGAAAGACAGCAGCAAAAAAAAAAAAAGGAAAGCAACGGGACTTTCACTAGTTAAACCGTTTTTTTTTTCATTTTCAATAGACCTGTCAGTCGTTTTTTTTGACAAATAAGGCGACAAAACATTTGTCAAAGGTACCGCGGGTATCATTGTTAATGTGGTACTACCCCCAAAAAAACTTTTTTCCTTTTCATTTTTGTTTTCGTATTTTTAAATCGAAACTCAATTGTCCGTGTACGATGTGACAAAAGGAATTTGTTTCATATAAATAATTGTATACAAAATGTGGAAAACCTTTTTCCCTCCCCCTTCCCCTCCCCCCAAAAAAAAAGTCTAATTCCACTTTTAAATCCCAAAAAAAAAAAAAAATTATTATTAATTTTTCTTCCTTTATTTCTTTATTATTTTTAAAAAACATTTTTTTATAATTTAATTTAATTACTTTATTACACGATTAAAATAATTATTTTTAATTAAATTAATTAAATAAAAGTAATTATAATTTAATTAATTAGTAAAATTTTTTTTTTTAAATTGCTATAATTTAGGGAAGTGAGAGCGCTCTAGCGTCATTTTTTGTAAACACGTAACTGTTTTGTTTACAAAAAAAAACGCGCGAAGCGACACCACCTAGCGGTGAAATTTCAAACTAGTTTCAGTTATTCTTCTTGTGTCTTCAGTTGGTTACTCAGCTAAAATTCAACTCGGAGGAAGTCATAAATTTTTTTCATTCGTATTTTTATTATTAATATAATATAAATAATTAAATAATATTAATATAATTATAATTAATTTTAAGTAATTTTAAAAAAAAAAATTTATAAATAATGGTAAGTTTTTTTGAATTTAAAAAATTTTTTTTGTGATTTAGTTTACAGTTGAGGTTATCCAAAAATTTTATGTTTAATTATATTAAATTATTTCTTTAAATTATTTATTATGATATTTTATTATATTTTTTTCAAAATTTTATTTTCCAAATGTGAAAAAAAAAAATTTTTTTTGGTTTTAATACCGTTCCGTGAAGTCATTTTAAACAAGCTTAAATGTATTTATGCTTTTTTCAGTCTTTAGGATTACCTTTTGGTAAAACAAAAAAACCTGATCATTTCCGTTTTGATGATAATGGTTATGGAATAACATCAACACTACAATCTGGATGGAATTCTGCTAGAGTACAATTGCAGTCTAATCATCCACTTGAAAGCAGTATTAGAAATGTAAGTATTTAAAATTAAAAATTAAAGCTTTATTATATATATATTAAAAATTTATTTTTTATAATTTTATTTTTTAGTTCAGAAATAATGAAATAAAATTAAACAATGCTGTTATGCTTAATGCACAAGGACCGGCTGGACCTTTAATTCAAGCCATGGAACTTAAGGCTGCCAGACAGGTACGTAGTCTCGATTGTTTTATGTATGTTTATATATATATATTATATATAATATATTATAATTTATTATTATAATATAATATTATAATATATATATTATAATATATATATATATTATATGTTATATTATATATAGTATAATATATATATATTGCAAAAAGTTTTCGAATTCTACTTTTTAAAAATTGACGATATAATATAATTAATATATTTAGATTGGAAGACATCCTTTTTTACCTAGTTCAAACTTTCAATTAGATGTTTTAACTGGTCGTGATATGGAAATGGATTTTGATGATTTCTTAAATACTGAAGAATTTAAAGAAGTACAAGCTCAACCACATGTTCTTATGGAAAATCTACCGCTTAAGCCATTTTTTTAATTTGGTTTTTTTTTTTTTTTTTATTTAAATGTAATTAAACTTTATTTTTACTTTTAATTCAATAAAAAAAAATATTTTGCTGTTTTTATTTTCAATAAAAATTTAAAACTATTCTGAAATAATTATTTCGAATTGAAAAATTTTGTACATTATATTATATTTAAATATTATAATTAGGAATTGTATGTTCAAAACATACATCTTTTATGATTCTTCTAATTATCGAATATTCAAATTATTTTGAAGATTGTTTCGATATAAAAACAATTTTATAAACTAGTAGATCTATCTAATCTCCATATATTTTCTTTATTTTAAAATAAAAATGATAATTAACATTTTTTTTTGTAATCTACTGAATTTACAGGAGCAGTAAAATTAAAAAGTACATTATTTTAATGATTTTTAAAAAAAAAAAACTTGCAATTAAAAATTTGAAAAGCAATAAAAAAAAATGTTGATTGTTATAAACACCAATAATGAATTAACGGTCGTTAAAAATGGAATGAATAATGTCGTTACTTTCTATACGCTTTTTGGTCACGACATTTTTTCATTTTCGTTATCGCGGAGGCATTGTTTACAGTGCCCGCAATTGTATTTGTCGGTTACGATATTAATTGTTTTTTATGGTTTATTACATATTTCTTTAATATTTAACTTAATTTTTGAATGTTGAACTCCGTCGAACTTTAGTTTAGTAAAATTTTCTTTATTTCAGGAGAATTAAACATTCAAGTGACCTTTTTATTTCATAAAATGTTCAAAAAATAACAATTAAGTATATAAAACAATTAGGTAATATTTTACTTGAAACTTTTTAAAATTTATTTTTTGATTATTATTATTATTATTACTATTATAATTTTTATTTAAAATATTAAATAGGCATTATGAATTTTACTACTAATGAAGTTAAAAAATTTTCTAATATCTACAAACAAATAGAAAAATTAGGTTATAAATATTCTTTGTCGTATGGTACTTTGCCTCTTTTAGAAAAATTGATTAAAGATTTACTAATATCTAAGGAACAAATTAAACATTACAAGCAAATTATTGAAAAAGTAGATAAGGTAAAATTTGTGTTCAGAATTGAGTGGCATTTTACACCTGAGTTACATTTTACAAGGGTATTTTGTGTAAAACCTATTGCACGACTTAATTTTCTTAGTTTTTGTACCAAAATACTACATTTTTACATTTTTTTTCCCACACAATTTGTTTGAAACACACACATGTGAATTCTTTGTAGTAATATTAGTCTTTTCTATCTTTTTACAAAGAATAAAACAATGTTCAGACCCATTCAGACTTTACTAATGCATGAATAGCACGAGTTTTATTTGAATGAGTGTTGTTATGGTAACATACTACCAAGCCAATGCATTCACTGTTACATTAGTTCCTCGGTAGTTTTAATTAATGAAAGAAGTAAAACTTGTTTGAAAAAAAAAAAGGAATTTTTAAATATATTAATTAGTATAACTTTTCTTTTTGGGAAATTTTAATTCCATAAAATTTTTAGGAAAAAATTAATTTAAAGAAAAGTTTATTACCATATCAAGAAGATAATGGAAGGTTGGTTATAGAAAATAGTGATTTACAAGGGCAATTATTTAAATTAAAACAAGAGCATGAAAAAGAACTTCAAGATTTTAAAAGAAAAACCAGGAAAAACGAACTCAAATTGGCAGATTTAGAATTTATGCACAGGGTGACATCCGATAGGGTGAAAGAATTAATAACGAAAAATAAAATTTTAACTTTAGCATTAAAAAATTCAGGTTCTATAAGTGCAGGTATATCATTTGTTTCGACTAATTTAAAGAAAATTTCTATTACTTTAAAATGAAAACAGTATCCTTTAACAGTTAAGCCTTTGACTCTTGATGAAAAAGAAGAAAATTGTAAATTGTGGTTGGAAAAACATGAAAAAAATGATGTCGGTGTAAATTGTAAGCTCATCGAAATGGAAGGAAAACGTTCAGATTTATTGGAAGAGTTAGATGAATTAAAATTAGAAAATCAACACCAATCAGACATAATAGCAGCTCTCAAATGTCAGGTAAGTTAATTTTTTTTTATAGATTTCATTTAATTTAATTTTAAAAAAAACTATTGTTAGCTTTTGTTATATTATTTTAGATTACTCAGAAAGACAGAGAAATAAGCAGGCTAAAACATGCATTGGAAGGAGGACGTCCTTTATCTGCAATCAATAAAGAAAGTTGTTGTTGTCAATGTAAGCAGAAAGATTGCAGAATAAAATCTCTTGAGGAGCAGTTAGAAGAAGCTGTCGAAAAGCAACATGAAGCCATGAATAGAGCCTTGAATTTAGCAGAAAGAAATCAACATTTAGAAAGTATGTGAAATACAATTATATATGAATGATTTATTTCGATAAATAAATAATTATTTTAATTTGTTTCAGGAGAATTAAAGGATATTGATCACATGGCACTAGCAGTAGAAGAAGAATGTCAAAACAAAGTTAAAAATAATTTAAAAAATCTTGATATTATGGGAGAAAAACTTATGGAAAAAAATGAAGAAATCAAAAAATTAGAAGAAATAATATTAAGTATGAAAAATCAAATTGAACGTAACGAATTCGATTCGAAAAATTTACTTAAAGAAAAACAAAGATTGGAAGAAAATCTACAAACCGTGACGGGGGAAAAAAAACAATTGAATGACAAAATAAATTATTTTTTATTAATAGGTAAGTATAATGTGTTATTTGAATTATGTATAATAATACTTTAAACGAAACTATTAACTTAAATTTCTTTTTTTAATTACAGAAAAAAATTTAAATTCGGAAATTTCGCGTATGCAAGAAATAAACAAAAGTTTACAGAGGCAATTGAGTGACATGGAAGAAAAAGTCATGGATATATTGGGTACTTCGTGTAAGAATTCTCAAAAAGGAATGCCTAAAAAATACAATTATGCTCTCGGGTAATTACCTCAAAAAAAAAAAAAATTATCAACTACTTTCGCCAATTTTTAATAATAATATTTTCGAATGAATTTTTAGTCTTCCTAATACTAAGATGCCGACCGTATTTAACGAAAACAAAACGGTTTCGAAATTATGTAAGGAAAATAAAAAAGAAAAAGATAAAGATTTAAATGATTGTTTGCATAAAAATTATAGCATATCATTATTTCACAAAGTACAAGAAGAAAGAGATTTTTATCATAATGAATGTCATCGTTTAAAAAATCAACTCGATTGTTATCCCGTTCGACCCGATGGGGTAAGTCAAAAAGGCACATATACCTACCTACCTACCTACCTACCTACCTACCTACCTACCTATCTCGAACACTTGTATTTTCTTTTTTTCAAAATAATATTATTATTTACAGAATGCGGAATTATTAAAGCAAATAAGAGAGTTAGAAAAAGAAATAAGAGATTTAAAGAAGGATAATTTCGTTTTGAAACGTGAAAATTCTTCCGTTTTGAAAAAAATGGAGTATAACGATCACTTGTCTTGTTCCTCTGGAGATTCTATTAAAATAATATTGGATAGATTGGAAAAAGAACGGGATATGGCACTTTCGGACATATCAAGATTGCAAGGTGAAAGGGATGCGCTCAGAGAAAGAATCAGAGTAAAAAATTATTATAGTCGTCATACTTTTTTAACCGTTGTAAAAAAAAAAAAAAAAGTGTATTTGTTTAAGAAAATAATTTGTTTTTGTTGAATAGTTATCGAAAGAAAATCAAATGGGAGAAATGTCGAGACTCGAAAGGATCATTCGCGAAAACGAAGATAGGATACGACGTTTAGAAGCGGAAAGAAGGGATTTGATAAGCAGTCAAAGTTCGCAAAGGTTCACATTAACGAACCTGGAAGAACAATGCGATGTTTATAAGGAAAATATACGTAAAGCACACGGAGAATTGGCACAAATGAAAGCAAATTATAATCAATTGAAGTAAATAAATTTTATTTAAAAAAATATATATAAATTGTGATGTCACAGGTCAAATTAATTTAATTTTTCTCGTTCTAGAACATTACAAGAACAAACGGACAGGTCATTTTCAGAGATACAAAATCGATTTTCTCAAATCGAAGTTGAATTACGCGTGTCAAATAATAAAGTACTCGAATTGGAAAGAATAAATAGTGATTTGGAGAGCGAAATAACGTGCCTGAAAAAGGAAAAGGCGAGTCTGATATCAAACATATCGTACGTCGAAAAGGAAAAGGATGGTTTACTGGTAAGTGAAAAAATCCTACTTGAAAAACCCCCCCCAAAAAAAAAAAATAATAATAATTATTCATGTGATTGATTTGATTGCAGATAAATTTGGATGAGAAAACGGAAAAAGTTGCAAAATTGGAAATGCAATTAAAAAAACAGGACAGTTGCATCGCGGATCTCAAAGATGCAATATGCCATCTTGAAAAAAAATTCGAGTAAGTCTTTATTTTATTTACAATTTTATATCGAAAAATTGCACGTTGATCAGTTTTTTTTTTTTTTTTTTTTTTTTTTTTTTTTATTGATAAAAAATAACGAAAAAAAAATATTATTAATAATTCATGGTAGAAAACAAAAAAAAAAAAAAGGCTTTTATCGCGTTCGTTTGTTTTCAATATTTCGCGTTATATTACATCTTAGTCTCTGGCAGAAGAATTTAAGAGAAATTTATTTTTTTTTTTTTACATATATTTACACGAAAACTTTCACTTTTTATTATTATTATTATTATTTTTTTTTTTATGTGTTTTTTTTTTTTTTTTGCATGGCATTGTGTTGTGTGTGTGTGTTAGCTGAAATTTTCACATTTAATTTATTATTTTACTTTTGGACAAAACTTTTTATTTGTTGAGATTCTTGGAAATGTCATTTTGCAATTTTCGTTTTTTTTTTTTTTTTTTTTTTCGAATGTTAAAATATGAGTTCCGCATTTCGTTTAGTGCTCATAATAATTAATAAGTTAACGAAAAAAAAAGAAAACGTAGTAAGTTAGGGTTGTCATGTAGGTCAGCTAAATAAATCTTCCCCGTTGAGAAATTTTGCCAACGTGACCAAAGGAAGATGACATCCGTTTCCGTTTGACGATTTGCTAAATCCGGGTTTGCATTCGCATCTAGCTTTTAACTTGGTCGATTCGTCTTGGAGTAGAGAGGGATCGGGATCCGTCCAACCGAATCTGTGATATTGTTTGTCGGTACGACCTTGTCTGACGGGTAGTAACCACTCCCCTTGCGAACACGGGCCCTGAGAGTAAAGGGAGTAGCAATTGTCGTCTTTGGAGTTTTCATTTTTCTCGCAAATCCTTATCTTGTACGCGTTTTCCTTGAGGAATTGATGACTGTTTCTTAGATTTTTCACGTTGGATTTGGTTGAGTCGATTTCATTTAAGGTACTCCTCCCGTTTATTTTGTTCGGATCCACGTCATCGTCTTCCTCTTGGATTTTGCATTTCGTAGGGCCGGAACACCTGAAATCGTGACGTTTTGTATTTTAACGATATATCAATTAAGGGAAATAATGCGAAATCAGGTTCTTTAACTCACCCACACATTCCTCTATAAGATATTCCTTCGACAGATGATCTGACGCTAGGTTCAAAGAGCACTAATTGACCTCTCGCACAAGGCCCTCTCACTCCGACTCTGTGGCAAGAACCATCTTGTGGAAAATACAATTTTCCTTTCGGACAAGGATTTTCGATGCAAGTTTTATTGGGAAATAAAATTTCCCCTTTTAAACAAGGGCCTCGAGTGTATAGGCGGTAACATTGACCATCGTCCCAGGGCACGTGTTCCGGTTTGCAAATGCAACTTCCTTTAAGTTTGGGGGGTTCGACTTGGAACAACTGTCCGGATTTACACGGTCCCATCGTTCCTGAGCAAAAGAAAATCATTTTTTTTAAAAAGTTAAAAAAATTTTTTTTTTTGGGATAAATGAAAATGAATGAATGAGATTTCAGGTTACCGATTTCGTAACATTGATGAGTGTTAAAATCGTAATTGGGGAGACTGTTATGACAGCCGCAAGTCGATCCCGGTAAGAATAAAGTTCCCTTTTCCAAACATGGTCCCTTTGTAAAGTACTCGTGACACGTTTTCGTGGGATTCCAATAGAATTTTGAAAGTGGTCCGTTCTTAGAACATTGACATTCTCCTAATTGAGTTTCTGAAAATCCCGATGAATATGAATGAGAAAAATTTCACTTTGACACCCTTTTTGTGTGTGCGTGGGTGGGTGTTTACCTTTGTTGAGGGTAATAAGTTCACCATCTGGGCAGGGTCCTTTGGTATACTTTAAAAAACATTGTCCCGTCGCAGCCCAAAAAACTTCTTCGGGTTTGCATTGTTTTGCTTTTATGCATCGTCCTATTCTTTCTCTAAAAAATGAATTCCAATTAGAAATTTTCCGTTTATTATTATTATTATTATTCGGTCGATGGGAATGCGTTTTTTGTTTTGTTTACCTTCCGTTTATCGATTGTCGCAGGGGGGCAAAATATTCGCCATCTTCGCAGGGACCTTTGGTGTTTATTTCGTAACATTTATCAGAATTTAAAATTTGAGCCGTTCTCGGGGGACACCTACAATCCGCGACCGTTCTGTTAAAATGATCTTGCATCGGATTTAATTCCATCGTTTCCGGACACGGGTATCCCCTTTGAAAAATTCTGTAGCATTTTTTATCTGTAAGGTTTAGATCGTGACGGAAACTCGTAATGACGATAATTTTTCTTCGAAAAAAAAAAAGGTTTCGACTTACCCGGGGGCCAATAAATCAATAACCATCCTCCAGGTTGCGAAGCACACGGATTACGATCCGGATCTGCCCAAGGGGGAGGTAGTATGGCGGCGTGTAGTGTTAACAATTGGATAAATCCAAAAATTATGACTCCCTTCATTTTTTTTTTTAACCCCTTATTTATTCACCCTTCGACAAACAATTGAATATTAATGTTTTTTTTGTTTAAACAAATGATTTCGTAACAATATTTTCTCGTTTGTAAGTAAAACTTTCTTCGAACTTCACGTCACTTTCAGGTTTTTTAAAACTTTTTTTTTTTAACTTATATATAATAAAAATCTTGGACGGTGAGCCCCCCGAAATAATTTATTAGGTATCCAATTAAAATCCAATCGATTTTCCACACCCGCGAAAAATCAACCGTAGGTTCGTTACTTTGTTTTCCGCGATTTTTTTTTTTTGTACAACGATCGACGTACGTAATAATTTTTTTAACGGTCGAAAATTCAGGTTCTTTCTCAGGTTGAATACAAACGCAGACTATTCATGCTTCATCACTTTGACATACTTTCCATATCATGAGTCGGTTTCTGTTACGCAATTTAAATTTTTATTTCTATGCACGGACGCATACGCACGCACTCACTCACGCACCTCCTTCACGAATTTACTTCCTCACGCAATTCCAGATTTTTCGAGACAGAATTCGAGACACGCACACGCACGCATACGCAGACAGACGCACGACTAACATTAAACTAAATTCTCGTTTGTTTTAAACGTTCTCGTATTATTATTATTATTAATAATGATTTTTATTGGCGTTGTTGTTTGTCGTTTGTCTATTGCGACCGTTGTTGTTTGTTTCAAAGAGGGAAAGGTCTTTTTTTTTTTTTATACGTTAATTATTAATTATTTTTTTTCCGGATGAGAATGTCAGCCATGTTTTTATTCGTTCGGTTTATCATCGAAGTCAAAAATCAAAGATTAAATTTAATTATAATAATAATAATAATAATGATAGAATTTTTTTTACGATGACAGGAGTCATCGTAGGTCGTAGGTTTGGTTTTTTTTTCGATTTGATTTCTCGCCTATTATATAAAAAAGAATTCAGGGCGTGATATGTGTGTGTCGTGAGAAATGTTGTTGTTGGGTTTGTTTTGACGAAGGATTTGTGTTTGTTGTTGTTGTTGTTGTTGTTGTGTTGATAAATATGTCGGATGATATTCACGCGTCGAATGTTAATTTTCATCCTAGAATATGACCTTACGCAACGGATTGATCTTTTAAACCCTTTTTTTTTTTTGTTCGAGAATGTTCGAATCGACGTTTCGTTTCGAGATTTGTGTATTATTTATATGTTTCCTTATTCATCACGGAAAATTTTCCGGTAACGACCAGACCTATTATTGCGGGGGGATTTGTTTAATTGCTTTGAAATTGCACGTTTAGTAGTAGCCGCCCTCGTAATTACTCCTAAACAAAATTATTATTATTATTATTATTATTATTATTTTCCGTTAAATGATGCAGGTACCAAAAAAAGTTACGAACGGTAATAAAAACAACAACAACAACAACATGTTTTTGTTTCGTGTATTGTTAATGTTGTTGTTGTTGTTGTTGCCGACTTTTTAAAAACGGTTTTTGTTTTCGTAAATTAAAACCGCGAATGAATTGAATGGGGGAAAGGCGGGGAGGGGGAGGGGAAGGCGGGGACGCGGGGGGGAAATTTCTCGTGAAAGTAAATTGTATATAATTTGTTAGTTTCGTAACTTTTCCTAAAAAAAAAAAAAAAAATGACTAATTGTTACTCGGAAAAGAAAACAAAACGGATTTTTTTTTTACATTCGTTTGTTTGTTTGTTTGTTTCCTTCCGCGCCATTTTTCATCCGGAAAATCATGAAAAATTTTTAAATTGGGAATGTTTTCCCTCTCCCCCCCCGTATCCAGAAATTTTCCTTCGATTAGGGTTTTGAAAAAAAAATAGTAATAATAATGACTACGTTGTTGTATATTTTAAGTGACGGACAAACAAAGTCATTAGCATTAGGCTTGGTTATTTCAACCGTGAAAAATATTATTATTATTATTATTATTATTAATCTTCAATCATTAACTCCGGAATTTATATTCGAGGGGGGGGGGTTTATATGGGGCAATAGCATGTTAAAGTCTCGTTTTTTTTTTTTTTTCTTCCATCAAGTTATTTCCTGTTAATTCACTCTCTCTATGTGGCGTGGGTTAGGCTCGGATTGTTTTCTCTCTCTCTCTCACAATATCAAAATCGTCCATTATTAATAATAATAATAATATTTTATTTTTTTTAAATATAAACATGGATTTGGTAAACAAAATAAACGTTTGACGTCCGCCATTTTAAATTGTTTCCCCCTCTCCCTCCCTTCTGAACCGTAAAACTCGGATTATTTAAAATTGATGGGTTTGGAGGAGTCATAAAAAAAAACTTGAAGTAATTAAAAAAAAAAAAAAAAAAAAAAAAAAAACAATTTTGTTGGTTTTTTGTTTTGTTACGTAATAATAAACTCGGCCGGTATTTAATTATCTTAACGTTTGTTTGACCCTGGAAAATCCCTCTGGAAAAAAATTATGATGATGATGATAATGATAATAACGCATTTACACAATTGGAAATTACGAATAGAGAATATTACGTTTAAAAAAAAAAAAAAGTTAGGTAGGTGAATAAGGTTGAATAATACCTTCCCTCAAGGCATGAGTTTTCGTCCCACGTTGCAAATGATATTAGCTCTTATGTAACTAACCCCAATGATTTAACTACTACTACTACGTATTCTGTTATTTATTTATCACGTGATGATGGCAGACTCACACTTGCAACATCGTAGCAGGAACTAATCAGTTCCGGTATTATAATGTATCTTGTTTTTCAACAAGAAGCTAACAAACGCACAATCGTAATGTTTGTTGTTGTTGATGAGCTACCTACCTACTCGCGGTTGTTCATGTCCTCGCACGTGTTTACTCTCTTTCCTTTTCTTTTCTTTCGATGACGATATGGATTTAAATAAATTTTCACGGTTTAGATTTACGATGAGCGAGAAAACGAGTCAGGATTACACGTTCAGGAGTTTGGAAAGGGAAATTGATAGGTTGAAAGAAGAACTCGAACAGTGCGAATTGCAAAAGGAAGCTTTGATACGTGAAAATCGACGGTTGCAAGACGATTTGGCATCCGCGGCAAAAGATTGTCTAACGGCAAGAAGAGAATTGGATTTGGAAAAAGAAGATTGTGAAAATTTGAAAAAACAACTTCAGCAATACGTGTCGGAAGTGAAAAAAGCAGAAGAATTGCTCACTAAAAAAGTTGGTAAAACGTAATGATAATCGTAACGATCGCGGCGGAACTTCCGGTTGTCGGAACTCGAATACATTTTATTGTTTTTCAATCAATTAGGAATCGGAAAGGAATCAAATGTTGGATCATTTTCGCAGCCTGAGCATCGAAGCGACGGCTCTGGAATCGAACAATCACACTCTGGAATCAACTGTGGAAAACACAAAATCACAATTGATAGCAGCCAACAACAAGATAATGGATTTGGAACACCAAATCGCATCCAAGGATAGCTTGTTGTACAATTATGAAAAACAGGTATTGTAATTATCATTATTATTAATTTTTGTTTTGAAAAAAAAAAAAAAAAACCGCCTTTATATTTACTTATTATTATTATTATCATTATTATCAGATAGCCGAATTAACGGCGCAAATAGCAGAATTAGAATCGAAATTGAGGCAACAAACGGAAATGAAAATTCGTTCGGAACAAGATCTCAAAGCTTTGAGAGATCTCTGTTCGACTTTGGATGGACAAAAGGAAGCTTTGAGAAGGCAGGCAAATTCGAACGATGCAGAAAAAGTTCAGGCGAGTATCAAAATCCTTTTATACGTCATTCATTTTGTCGGTTGTTTTGATTTTTGTTGTTGTTGTTGTTGTTGTTGTTGTCCAACAGTTGATAAACGAAGTTCGACGTCTCAGCGAAGAATACGAGGGATTAAATCAAAAATTGACACACGAAAGGAGTCTGTCGCAAACATTGGAAAAATCATTGACCAACAGCCGACAGGAAACGTTGGAACACAAGATAACAAACAAAGATTTGCAAACTTTGATACATCAACTCAGGCAAAAAGTCGATGAATTGACGGAAAAATTGTGAGTTTTTTTTTTTTTTTTTTTTTTTTTGAGGAAAGAGTTTCCGGTTTTTTTCCCCCCTCACATATTTTTTTTTGGTGTGATTTCAGGGATGTGGAATCACAAGACGTGAGAAAATATCAGTCGCAATGTGCCGAACTGTCACAGCAAGTAAGTGATTTAAGAAGGGAAGTTACGAATGCGAGGTTCGAACAAGCGAGAACACTGGAGGATTCCAGACGGTAAGATAAGACAATGTTCTTCAATGCGTAGAAAAAAAAAGTATGTAAATGCGTAGTTAAAGTGAAATTTATCATAAAGAACAATCTGAAATGGTGGTGTTTGTGTTGTGAAATAAAAATGCACTTGACGCACGGTTTTGTAAAAGAAAGAAAAGAAAAGAAAAGCTTTAATGGAATCAACTACCTCAAAATATAATAATAATAATAATAATAATAATAATAATAATAATGACGATAGTAAATGTAATTTATTAGTATTATGTTAAAATGGCGGATTTTAAAAGGAAATCGTTAGTTGTGAAAAGGTGTCGCGTTTAAACCGCACATAAATACAAAAAAAAATTCCCGATTTCAGCTTTCCCTACGTCCTTACCAAACCCGAAACCGAGGAGGAAGAGGAAGATGATGATGAAGAAGATGATGATGATGATGAAGAACAACAACAACAATATTCTTGTTCCCTTGGTAGTTCCTTTCGATCCTTACCCGTATCCTCGAGAACGTTCACGTGGCCGACGGAAAGGAAAAAAAAGAAAAAAAAGAAAAAGAAAAAAAAAAAAATTTTCATCGATCGATTATACGAATCGGAAATGAAAGGATCCAATTATTCGGATGAAAGAGAACCGGAAATGGAATGTTTGAGAAACGGACGATATTATTCGGGTTCCGGTTTGTCGATGACATACGACTTAATTAATAATTCCGACGAATATTTTTTTCGAATGAAATATGATGATGATGATGATGATAATTCGAGAAAAAGAGGAGAAAGAATCGGAAATTATCGATCCTAACGATGAAAGGGGGAAGGGGAGGGGTAGGGGGAAGAAGGAGGAAGAGGAGGAAAGAGAGGAGGTGGAAGAAAGCAAAAAAAAAAATTTAATATTAAAATTTTGTTTTAAGGGACGTATAAATAAATAAATAAATTTTATTTATTAAAAAAAAAAACGTTTTATTGATTTATTGATTGATTGATTGATTGATTGATTATTGAATTGAGAAAACACGTGCACGATACACAAATTAATAGATTATTAAAAGCACATTAATTAAATCACGTTAATGACGTCATCAATGTCGATTTTGTGTACGTTTTTTTGTTGGTAATTATTGAAAACATTCGCACCGGAAATAAATTGTAATTCCAACGGAAATTGTTTTTCTTTCTGTCATAGAATATTAACGGAAATAGATGAGGTTGAGGTTGAAGAAGATTCCCCGAGAAATATACCACGTTTAAACATTTTAGAAGATAGCGAAAGAACTATAAGTTATTTATCGGAAAAAGAAGACAATTTACAATTATTATTATTATACGATAATGATGGTAATGATAATAATGATAATAAACAAATATGGAATTTATCACCGGTTATGGAAAAAAACGAATTAAATTCGGATATCATAATAAATACCGCATCGGATTTGTCGTCACTTCCGGAAGATGATAGGAAAAACGAATCGTATTCGTTTTCGGATGACAAAACGAATTTATCGGGTGCATATCCGACGTATTCGGTACGTGAAAAACAAACGGATTGTTTAATAGAAGACGACAACGACAACAACAACGACAACCAAAAAATAAAAATAAATAATTCATCGGTGAGTTTTGATAAAAATGTCAAATTCGATGACGATTTCGAAACGGATTGTTGTGAAAGGGGGGACACGTGGGATGAAAATTTATCACCTCACGATTTTCACGTGACTCGTACCTTAACACCGGAAAATTCACCTAAGAATTATTATTATTATTATTTAAATAATAACGTGGAAAATTGTTTAAATGATGATGACGTCAATTCGGAAATAAATGAAAATACATTTTCGATGGGAGAAAAATAATTAATAATACACTCTTGGAAAAACCTCCATTTTCTTTTCGATTTTATTAATAATAATAATAATAATAAATGAGAGAGAGAGAAATTATAATAATAATAATAATAATAAAAACAAACAACAACAATATAAATAATAGGAAAAACGTTTAATTATTTAAAAAAAAATTTTCTTTTTTCTCCACATTTCCGATGATTTTTCGTTTTTAGTTTTTTGTTTTTTGTTTGTTTTGTTTGTTTGTTTGTTTGTTAGCTTGTTTGTTTAACAAGCTCCCTTGAATGTTTTTTCGCTACACGTACGAACGGGAGGAACTTTACAACATTCTTCAATCAATTTATCTATTTTAGAACTTCTCCGATGATTTTCATTTATTTTATCATCGTTGATTTCGTCAACTTCCCACTGATCCGGAAAACCGTGAATGCCTAAAAACAATCAATCAATCAATCAATCAATCGGTGATTATTTTTAAACAATCATAATAATAATTATAATTAAACAAATTACCTTCATTTGTACGAAGACATTTATTTTTAAAAATTTTATCAAAAAATGGTCTTTTCGTTGTTGATTTTTCCGAATATGTTGTTTTCGTTTTGACATTATATTCGACGACGTAAACGTGTTTTACTTTGGAATGAATTTTTTTGTATGCTCTTTCTGTTGTGAGAAAAACACAAAAATAATAATAATGATAATATTATAAATAAGAAGGGTGGGAGAAAAATCATACAACGTCCGTTCACTCACTCACCATCTTCTAATATTCTATATAAAAATTGATCGTCTTTAAACATGGGATTTTGTGGATCATTTTCTTTTAAATATTTAACGGCACCATAAAAATCCGACGGCATGTTTCTCAATAGAGTTTCATTAAAACTCGAAGTGCTGCTGTCTCTTTTTTTCTTACCACAAGACATCATGTAAACGAGTCGTATCCATTTTGTATCGCAACAATATGTTTCACGTGTTAAATAAAAAATTAAAAAAATACCTACGAAATAATTATTCAAAAGAAAAACCTGAAAAAAACGCAAAACGCAAAACGATAATGATAAAAATAATAATAATAATAATAATAATAATAATTAAAAACTTACGATGGATTTCATGGTTTTTATTCCTGTGGGGGGAAAAAAAAAAAACTACGCGAATAAATTGATTGATTTACTTACAAACGAATACTAAACTAAAATCCATTAAATTCGTTCCCTTTATAAAAACAAACAAACAAACAAAAACAAACAAACAAACAAACGTAAAAAAGGAGGAGAGAAGAAGAAGTGAATTAGGCCAATCAGAAAAAAATTTATGATTATATGACCAAATATGTTTTTTTTTTTTCTAACAAAAAAAAATTCACTTGCATACGAACAACAACAACAACAACAACAACCAAAATTAATTTTTTTTTTCTTTATTATTATTATTATTATTTATAAATAAATAAATAAAAAAGGAAGGAGAGATGGAAAAAGGAAAAAATTGTTTGTTGTTTGGTTTATTTTTTTTTAAACAATTTCCCCCCCCCCGCTTTATTATTATTATTATTATTACTGCGCATTTAAAAAAAATGGTTTAATTAAAAAAAAATTTAATTAACCGGGTAATTTTGTTTTGTTTTTTTTTTTCGATATTTTGTTGATCACGTGACAAATCAATTAATTAATTAATAACTTTTTATCGTAATTATTTTCTTTCTCTCTCGCTTATACGTGTTTTCTTATAATTTGTTTGTTTGTTTGTTGGAAATTTAAAAGAATTGTTTAGTGATTTAAATCCGAGAAATGATAATAATAATAATAATTTATTTCGACTCCATTTTGAAATTCCCCCTTTTCCCCGCTCCTTCCCCTTTCCCCTCCCCCCACGATTTTTATGACTAAGTGTTAAAAAAAATTTCACGGTTAATTTATTATTATTATTTCTAAAAATCCGGCGCCGTGAAAATTTTAATTAATTTAAAAAAAAAAAAAAAAAAGAAATAAAACAAAGTTTATTATTATCATTATTATTATTATTATTATTATTCGTTTTGTTTAATTAAAAAAAAAAAAAAAAACGGAAAAATTTTTTTTCTTTGATAATCGAAAGGTATTTAAAAAAAAAAAAATTCAATTTGGTATATTTACTGATAAAATATTTTTTTAAAAAAAAAAAAAAAAAAAAAACCCGCGAAGGACAAAAATGTAAACAAATAATAATAATAATAATAATAATAATAATAATAATTTAAATTTTTAAAAATTTTGCTTATCGTTTTATTTTTATGATAATAACAAACACGTGACGACAAATTTGTTTTTGTTTTAAATATTTATTTATATAAGGAAATTTATTATTATTATTATTATTATTATTATTATTATTATTTATCGTCGTCTGGAATATTCTTTTTATTATTATTATCTTTAAATTGCTCCTCAAAAAATTTTCTTTTTTTCTTTTGTTTACGTTTAGCATATCGTAAATTCCGTAACCGTTAAATCATAATTAAATTAAATCTTTCTTTCTTTGTTTCTCCCATAGAAATTTTAACTTTTTCTATCTCTTTCTCTTTCTTTTACACTTTTTTCTTCCTCCTTCCTTAAAAATATAGAATTTCTTCTCTAGGATTAACTTTTTCCTTGTTTTTGTACCAAAAAAAAGGAAATTTGATTAGTTTATATATTTATATCATTACTTTCTTATTATTATTATTATTATTATTAACAACAATAAAACGAAAACTATTTTTTAATTTTAAATTTTAAATTTTATTCCCATTTAATAATTAATTAATTAATTAAAAAAAAAAAAACATATTAAAAGATAAAGCAAAATGTTTATTATTATTATTATTATTATTATTATTAATTATTATTATTATATACGAATAACAATTTTTTTTATTCTATTTTACTTTTTCTCTTTTTCTTTCTTTTTCTTTTACATGTAGATTTGTTTTGTTTTGTTTTTTTACGCACCGAGTTTAACGGGTACTTTTTGGGCCATTTTAATTTTATCTCCTAAACTAAGAGCCATTCCCTACAAACAAACAAACAAACAAACAAACAAAATTTAAATTTTTTACTTTGTTTACACAAATATACCGGATATCGAATCGAGTGACGTCAGATCTCACACTCACTTGGCTTTTTGCTCGAATCCGAATGTGTCCGATGACTGCAGCTTCCGGTTTGTTAAACGGTTTTTCAATGCTCAAATTCGCTAATGCATCCTCACCGAATATCGATTTCGCATACATGTTTGCAGCCATGAAACCGCATTGACCGGAAAGAGCCTGGAATGATGATATGTGCCAAATTATTGCATGTAAAAAGTAACAAAAATATAAAAACAAAATGTCTGTCTTCTTCACCTTTTCCGGTGTCAGACACTTCATGTTGGTGCTTTTTATCAAATGTTGAAGATATTCGTGAAGATCCGTTAAATTCGTGCTCACGGACACTTTATTTTCCCATTCGAATTCAGCCCACATCTGACGGAATTCCGTATCGTTACAACTTGCCGGAACTATGTAGTCCATTATGTCGATGTGTATGTCATTGAGAACGACGACGTTACGATCGGATGCCGCCCCGGATATCTACGGGAAAAAAAGAGAAAAAAATCCGATAATTGATGTACTCTTTCCTTTCCCCTCCCCTCCACTCCACTCCCCCTTCCCACCCCCCCCGTTATTTACATCGTAAACGATATTTCCAAAAATGATTCCATTTTCCGTCGATGCAACTTTAACGCTCGCTTTTATATTGCAAAAATCGTGAGGTGCCAACACGACCGGTTGAGGTTTTTCAACTAGTTTCAAATCTCCCAACGTTGCCAATTCTAAAGTACAGTTTTGCAAAGTGTCTCCTAAACAGTAGCAAAAAAAGAAAGAAAGAGTATGAATGTCATGTTGTCTTCCCTTGGTCTTTTCATATTAATTTTTTTTTTTTTAAACGTGTCTAACCTGTTTGATTAACAATTAATACATCGAGTACTATATCGTATTGATTCACGTGAACGTAAGCTTCTGAATAAACGGGATCGCTGAATCCGGTCAATTGTATTACTTTGTTTAATTTACTCGAAGCGGGAGTGAAGTCGCCACTTCCGGTTTGTTTTCCACCGGCTACGGCTCTACTCAAAGACAATTCGAACAAATTTTCTCCTCCGAAGTCTTCGCCTCCACGTAGCGCCGACAGTTGAAGGAACGTTATGGGATCATCGGCTTCGTTCACTTTCGCAGATTTTTCCTTCGCCTTGAATATGAAATTTTTCGCAATTAGAAAACCTACTCGTAAAAAAATTTTTTTCTTTTTTTTTGTAGATTTTAACCTTTTGCAGTGAGGATTCTTGAAGCGCGTTGGCCACCAACATAACGGAAAGAGCTTTCCGACATTTTTCGCTGAAAATGGTTTCGATTTCGCGATTCGCATCGCTTAAAACTCTCAAGCAAAGGAGTAATCTGTCGGCATCGTCGTTTGTAATTGCTTTCGATGGAATTCCAGATTTTCCAAGGTGCAACACGGAAGACCTGCAATTCATAACGATAAGTATTATTATTATTATTATTATTATTGTTTTTTAAATAGAAACTAAATTCGGGGTTGTAGATTAGATTTATTTACATTATTAACATGGCTTCCGTTGTAAATCTATTTCTTTTCACGGTGTCTTTAACTAAAGAATTATATCGGAGTGCTAATTTGGCCAAAGTAGTACCCAGGGCGGCTCCGATAAAGAAATCACCGTCGATGAGATACTGACGTAACGGTGGTCTAGCTTCGTTTTTCTTTGCCGTTCTACAAATTGACAATACATGTTAGATTTCCCATAAAATTAACTGAAGAATTGTAATGAGAGAAATGAGACACGTACGATAACGTGTTGAAAGAAGACTGAGTGGCATATGTTCCGTCGGAAGTCACCAATTTCTGAACTGGCCCTTGACTGAACGAAAGGTCATCTTCAGATTTTTCACCCGCAGCTCGTTTCAATTCATCTTCCACGATTGGTATTTCTCCAAGGGTTTGTCTCACTTGAGTCATGACGGTTTGAATATCTTCCGGCAAGTAGGCATATTCTCCGAGAATCCACAACGCGGCACGGTGAACTTTAACCGACTGCAATTACATTCAAATATTCAACGTTAATATTCGTATGGGGAAATTTACGATCGACATGTTAAAATTTTGCGTGATTTACTTTGATTGACGTGAATGACTCGAGAAGCTTCTCTATGATGAGCGGCCTTAAATTTTCAAATTTATGTATGGCTTCGCGAATGAAAACTAATACGTCCGTTGCGGCTAACTCGTTAGAATCTGATAAAAATTCTATTAAAACTGGAATGACTGTTGCAGCAATGTCTGGAAATTTAATACAACAGGAGTGTAACGTTCTTACTAATAATTGACGATATTTTCCCGTGTCTTCGTGTTCGACTACATTGTGAGTTTTAGTGACTTCCTTTTTCAAAACCAAAACCATTTCTTCGATATTTCGAGATGATACTAATTCCATAGCTGAAATTTGATCGTTGCTTTTTAAAAAAATTGAATTCAAGGAATTTTTTTAAAAAGAAAATATTTATTTTTTTATTTACCCAAATTTAGAGTTTTCTTTCGAACTTCTAAATCAGGACTAGACAGAACCCTTAGTATATCCATAACAAGATCTTGAAGCACTCTTTCATGTGTTGGATTATTTTTTAAAGAAATGAGACGATCCAAAACTATCAACTTAACATTATTGTCACTTTCTTTAATTATAATTTCAATGTAACAACTTGCTGCAGCCTTAAAGGAATTTCAAATCGATTAAATATCTGGTATTCAAATTCGTTCAAATTGTTAAATATTTGGTATCGATACCTTTATAGCAGTTGGAGCACTGGAGAGTGTGATCAGAGTACCTGCTGCTTCATATCTAACAGCTTGACTGCTAGAGTTTAAAAGGTTGTAAATGCATCTTATGAATCTTGATCTCTCTGAAGGGTTTACATGACAAACTTTATATATGAGTTCTACAATTACAAGTTGTAAAATATCTCCAAATGAATTTACTTGATCAAGACATGAAGCTAAATAATTTAAGGCACGTTCTTGATCTGCATGTAGTAACATTAGGAAAGCATTTCTTTTACACGACATATCTTGTTCACTTTCAAGAAAATTGGCAATTAGTTCTGGTGCATCAGGAATTAAAAATTCAAAATTTCTAAAATAAACAAATAGTGCTTTTATAACAATTTTAACCATGATTAATTTGTTTGAAATTTAAAGCTTGATTTGTAACCTGTAAATAGTGAAAATAGCCAAAACGGCATTTCTCCTAACGTAGGAATGCCTGTGCTCTAAACATGCTCTTATAGCCGGCATTAATGGTTCTAATAATTCTGGTTCTTTTAATTTGCATAAAAATCTTAAAGTTGAGCCTCTTAGAAATTCATTAGGATGTTGTAAATCTTTACGATAAGCATCACACACTAAAATCATCTCCTGCATTAATTTTCCATCAGGATTAGTCTAAAACGGAAATACTTTTGTTATATCTTATTCATTTTTTAATTCAATATTGATTTCATACTGAACTCACTACCTACTTTTGGAACTATTTCCCAAAATATTAGTAATAATTTTTTCACCATATGATCTTGTAGGGGAAGAACAAATCTGATAATGGTCATTAGAATTCCTGGAAGTCTTTCTCCGCTTAAAATCATATGTATAGTTTTTTTTAATGCTTCAATTTTAGTTTTAACATCTCCTTTTTCCAAATCAAGTTTTAATTGCATTTCATTCAATTGTTCAACATCAGATGGCACATTAATTAAAGTATAACAAGGCTGTTCCACGTGTGTACCCATTTTTATCTAAAATTTTTACATATTCACATCATCATTATCAATATAATTTTTTAACAAGTGAATTGTGTTAAAAGTAAGCCCTAACCTTCGTTCAATTCCTATTCAAGATTTATATACCTTAGACGTTTTTTTTTTTTTTTAAATCATACGCTAAAAAATTTTATCTTTTATTCTTACTGTAATTATAATAAAGTAGATATTAATATTATAATACAAAAAACAAATTATGAAAAAACTTGTTTTATAAAAGTAATTTAGAAGTTATTACCTTTAGGCTTGCTTAGATAACTATTCGTCTACCTTCCTATAGTTTTTTTTAAAAAAAAAAAAAAAAAAAAAAAAAAAAAACAATATTGAAATAATAAAATTAATAATGAAATCTTTTACTGCACATAACTATTTTAAAATTAATTATTTAAATAATTTAACGACTGACACATAAAAGTGTCAACAAGATTCCGGCTACGTGTCTCTGAATTTCGGCCATTACAATGGTAAATTAAAATAGGGCCCTGATAATTGCAATAATAAATGAATATGAGTTAAGTTTTACGATCACCTAACTTTAAATAACTATTTATTTTTAAGTGTTGTAATTTTTTTTTTTTTAAAATGGCTAATCCTGATGTAGCTCAAGTTAGTTCACTGCCTTTACCTCCGATGCAGTACATTAATTTGTTTACCGATGAAAACATTAAAATGAAAAGAGTACCTAGACCACCACCTCCTATTCACGATTCCTATAATATGTTTGGTCATACTTTTAATGCCGATGATACAATTATTAGGTCTCTGGAAAGTCAGGTAATTTTTTTACCGATGGGTTTATTATTTAAAAAAAAAAAAACACACATAAATAAATACGTGATAATTAATTTTTAGGGTATAAAACGATTGTATCCACAACATTTTGACAGAAGAAAAGAACTGAGAAAATTAAATCATTCTCTGCTAGTAAACTTTTTAGATTTATTAGACACATTAGTTTTATGTCCTGATTCACCTAAAAGAACTGAAAAAGTTGATGATCTCAGCCTATTATTTTTTCACATACATCATTTATTAAATGAATTTAGACCACATCAAGCTAGGGAAACTTTACGAGTAATGATGGAACTTCAAAAACAGCAAAGAAATGAGACTGCAATTAGATTTCAGAAGCACTTGGATAAAGTAAGTGAAATTCTTTGAGACTTTTTTTTTTTTTTGTATCTAATTCATTATTTTTATACATTAAATTTATTTTGCAGGTTTTGGAAATAATCAATACTGCTCTACACAATCTACCGGATTCCTCTGATGGTGAAAACAGTATGTCAGTAAACACAGAATTATTCGACAATATCGATTCTTTATCTAATGATTCTGCTGATAGAGACATTTATACAGAATTAGATAAACAAATGTGTGAAATTGTCGATGCTTTATAAATTATTAATAATCTTATAATTTGTAATTAAGAATTGTAAAGTTTTATTTAAAAATTGATGAAAATTAATACTCATAATTATTATTTTAGAAATTTATGTAAAAATGTTAAAATTGAATTGTATTATATAATTAAAGTGTAAAGAAAGGAAGTTTAAAAAAAAAAAATGACGTTGAATTGATGTAAAATAAAATTTCTTTTTTTTTTTTTTTTTTTTTATCATAATTCACAAATACATGAGTTCTGTTATAATCACACTAAGTTATTAAAGGCAATAATTATTTTTTTTGCCACACATAAAATAATTAAATTATTTATTGTTTCGTAAGAAAATTTTAATCCAAATTCAAAAAGTTAATTAATTTATAATTAATTTTGAATTAATCTACATTTCTAATCAGTCTAGAATAAATCTACCAATGTTTTTTTTTTTTTAACAAATACAATACTACATTTAAAGTTATCATAAATCAAATTATAAAAAAAAAATCGGATATAAAATTAATAATGTAAATTATTTTGTTAACTCGTTTCAACTTTCGTTATAATTAAAATTAAAACCCATTTTTTTTTTTTTTTTTTTTTTTTTAGTTTTGATAAAAAAATCATTTATTAAGTGAAATCAAATAATAATAATAATAATCGATTTGATATAAAATCTTTTATTTTGTATTAAATGTATTGATTATTAATAAGACATACGTCTCCAAGTTCTGCCGCCACGAAACTTTCCACGTCCACCACCACCACCAAGTCGAGACACTGATAAATTTCCTCTACCCCTAACTGGAACTTGAAAAATTTATTTTTTATTTCAATTATTTATTTAAGGTAAAATTTTTTTTTTTCTTAAAAATAATAATTATACTTACTGTAACCGGAAATTTTATCGCTGTATTTTCCACTCGGAGGAGTGTAAACTTCTTTATATCCTTTTAATGTTTTCTTTTGTTTCGGTGATGATTTACTTTCTCCAAAAGTTATAGGTGTATGTCGTTTAACACCGACTAAAGAATCTTTAACACTATTGACAGATCGATTCTAAAAAAAAATTTTTTTTAAATTAAAATTAAAAAATTAAATTTTGAAATTATGTTAAATTAAGGTTATATAAACTTACATCAGAACTTGCGAGAGGTTTCCAGCTCAAATTTATAACACTTTTAAAACTAGGAGGACTGTGAAATAAATCCTTAATAAGAATATTTATATTTGATGTCGTTTTCAATGCTACAACTTTTAGTCTATTGTCTTCGGACTTTAATTCTTCTGCCGTTTTCCCACATAGTGCTTCTCTCAATTTTTTTATATAACCTTGAATCCCTCTTGCAAAATACTGAAGACTGTTAAACATATAAACATAAAAAAAAGTTAATCTCACGGTTTGTATACAATTTTAATACTTTTTTAAATGATTCTAACCGTAATTTAAAGTCTTTTAGTCTATCAGCATCCGATAGAAATTCTGGACATTGTCTGACTAATTTGTGAAAAGCATACATCAAACATTCGACATGAGAAAATTCTAATCTCGGTTCCATTGTTAATTCTGTTCCATCATTTGGAGGTAAAGGCATGTACACCTAAACAATGTAAGTATTAAATAGTTTTTAAAAATTCATAACAAATTGAAAGTATTAATAATAATGATTTGTATGTTTTTACCAGAAGTTTTTGGTAAATTTGCAGAACTTTTTTCTCCGGCTGATTCATCGCTCCGCAGTGTGTACACAGTTCGGCTAATATTTTCAGCAAATCTAATTCGATGGGACTGTCTTCTTCAGATGTAAGTATTCTTTCCAATTGAGGAAGAATTTGTTCGCATATATAACTTACAAATCTAGATGAACTGATTTGAGACTAAAAGTTTTTATTTAATTTAATTATTAAATTGTTATTTTTAAAAAAATTTTGTAAAATATTAACATTTAAACTTACTGAAAAATAAGGTAATGCATGTCTAACACAATTAATTAATCTATCTAAAAGTTCAGATTCTTCATCGGCTCCCGGGCTGAACGGATGATCAAGTTCAACTTGTTCCGCAACTAAATCTACCAATTCTTGATGACCGCTTATGCTTTTGCCCAATTTTGTAGAACCTAATAATTCCATTAATACATTAAATTCATTTGCAGTTACATCCTAGAAAATAAATTCAAATTTAGTTGATTTAACAAAACTTATCATTAAAAACAGTTTATAAAAGGACTGAAATTAATTTTAAAATTTACATAAGTACTTTTAGATACATACTTGCAATACTTTTTTTATTTCTGTTATCATATAAGCTTCAGCTTCTGCATTAAGTTCATCTTTTTTAAAATTTCTTATTTTTACAGTTAGAAATTTAATACATTTCTCTCTAACAAAATCTTCTCCAGATAAAATCTAAATTAACAAAAATATAAAATAAATTCAATAATAAAAAGTTAATTTAAAAAATGCAAATGGGTAAAAATTTCGAATGTGAGATTAACCTGATTAAATAAACCAGACAAACATCCTTTGGGATCAATACTCAGCAATGTTAACAAAGAATTATTAACAACGGCTATTTCAGATGAATCTTCAGCTTGAAGAAGTTGAGCCAAAATATCGGCAATTTTTTGAGTAAATTGCTTATTGTCTTTGCACAAGGATGGTAAGTCTTTAATCGCTTGTTTTCTGGTCTGTAGAAAAAAGTTAAATTAATGTTTTATCAGAATACTTTCAGTTTAGTTTTTCAAATCTGTGACGAAAGTACTTAATTTAAAATGTTGAAAAAATACTGTAATAAAACTTACTTCTATGTCTTCATCCTCACACAAATCAAATAAACATTCAATGGCTTGTTCAGCTACAGATGGAAAATATTTAAAAAATCTGGTGATAAATTGCGAAGCCAGCCTTTTTTCTTTTGAAGAGCCTTTGACAGCTGTCATAATTTCAAGATATTCTTTGACATGCTAAAACAAAAATGAAAATTTGACTAATATTTTTTACCTTAACAATACTTTTCATTTATAAATTGAGCCAAAATAGTTCATTTATCAGAATGTACTTTTACGCCACAAAAAAAGTTTTCTCTTAAATTTATCTTAATTTTTTACGTTTTTTAAATTGTATCCCTAGTTTTATAAGTAATAAAAAAATTTTTGATCAAGGTAAAACCTAATTTTATTCATTCAAAATAAATTATCTGAAAACTTTAATCATACGCATCCAAAATTTAAATTTCTAAATGTAGATGATACCTCTCCGATTTTGTCTTTAGAATCGGCCAGTATACCAAAGTTTTTGTACAACTTTTCTATTGAATCTGTGCTCATCATTCAGCCTTTATTAAAACTTTTTTAAAAACTTAAAAATATTTAGTATTCATTCCATATACACAACGTTTAAGAAGCCGCATTAAGATAAAAACCATTGCTCCTTTGTTAAAAAGGGCCCTGAAAATATTCAACTTATAAGAATGTAGTAATATGCAAAAATTTAAATTACTTAAATTGTGGCCAATTATTATTGAACCGAAAAAATATAAATACTTTTTTACTCAGTAATATAAAATGGGCCAAGCCTTGAGTAGCAATGGTTCTCCATCTGAAAATATCATACCTGAAACTGTTAGCGCTATCCAGGACGAAGTTGTAAGGCAAGCCAGAGTTATCACTGAAATAGCGGCTTTAAGTTATGAAGATTTTCTAAAATGTCTGGAACAGCTTAACGAACTGTAAGCTTATGATTTAACGATTTTTTTTATTTTATATTAAAAACCCTAATAAATTATAATATTTAATAAGCCTTACTTTTTGAAATGACAGTAAATAAATGTTTATTTTTTAAGATCGAGAAAAGTTACGGATCAGAATGGAAAACAACTTTTATTTGCAGTAAAAAAAGGAACGGATTCAACAGTATTATGGAAAGGAACAGTAAAAATTGCATGCATTAAATTAGATTCTGAAACTAAAGTAATTGAAAGTCATAGATTGTTTAATTTAAATCAGTTTTTAAAAATTTTTAAAACTTTGGAATGTCAACTGACAGCTGCTTTACACAGTTCGGAAAAAGAAAAAATTGATGATCCAAATGGAGTAATGTTGAAAAATAACTTGTCCAAGTCAGTAAGTTCTTCAGATTCTTCTTGTGACTCTAGTCCTTTAAAATCAGGTTATTATATGATTGTTTTTGTTTTTATATTGTTCTTTTAAAAAAAATTTTTTTTTTTTTTTAAAATCAATGATAATTTGTGCAGGATCGGATGACTCTAGCTCCGATAGCGGTAATAATTCTGGAAATGTTGTACCTGACAGTGTGATTCCACTCGATGTAAATAGTACAAAACCTAAAAATATTAAATTGAAAAATGTGCAATATAAAAAATTTACAGCTTCTATGCTTCTTGAAGAAGTTGATAATTTAGCAAACAGTATTTCCGATAAGTTAGGAGAATGCAGTATATGTTTAGAAAGAAAATCTGATGTTTTACTTCCCTGTGCTCATGCTTATTGCATGCAATGTATCGAACAATGGTAAGTACATACTTACATTGTGTTTACAAATAAATTTATTATATTTAAAGGTGTTTATATTTAATTTATTTTATTTTATCAGGAATACATGGCATAAAACTTGTCCATTCTGCAGAGAAACATTGAATAACATTGATGACACATGGGTCATATCAGATATTCCGGGATCTCGAGAAATCAGCGATGAAATTTGTTCTGCACTTATGGATATAACATCGTTAAAATAAAAATGTCCATATCAAATTCGAAAAATGTTTTTAAAAAATTATGATATTCACAGGAAAATTCTCATAAAAAGAATTTATATTAAAAAAACACATTATTATTATTATTATTATTTATTCGATATAATTATAATAATTTATAATTAAAAAAAAAAAAACAATGAAATGCCATTTTTAAAACGAGAACTGAAAATGCAAAAAATTTTTAACCATTTAATTAATAATAATAATAATAATTAAAATATAATCTAGTCAAACAACAATTTATCGATATATTATTATTTTTAATAATTTATTCAATAAGATATATATATATATAAATATTAATTTATAATTTTTTTTAAAAATGAATTATTAAGATAAATAATATATCTTAATATTTAAAAGCCATTTAAAAATTTCCTTTTTGTTTTTAAATTATGTAAAATAAAAAAATAAATTGTTAATAATATTTATGAATTTTATTTATTATTATTATTATTATTATTATTATTATTTATTCTTATTACAAAAAAAAAAAACATTTTGTAAAAAATATTATTTTTAAATGCGGGTTTTTTTTTTTTGTTAAATTGTTATGTAATTTATTATTATTATCTTGTTATTTTCAACGGTTTTTAAATAAATTTTATTTTCAAAAAAAAAAATAAATAAAAAAATAATCTTGAATTTATATACAGATATTTATTAAATGCATTCATTTTATATTTATTGAAAATTGTAAATGTAAAATTATCCAATACAAAAAATTAATATATATATTTACGTACGTATATAGATTATTATTTTATTTATAAATAAAAATCTATGTACGTAGATAAAACTATTTATTAAATAATAGATAAATGTATAATTTATCTAATAATAATAATAATTATTTTTCTTTTTTTTTTCTTTTTAGGAGAAACAACAAATGCAATGCGGATAAGACGATGATGATGATGATGATTAAATTGTGTTTTTCTTTGGATTAACATCCAATGAAAAATAAAATAAAATAGTCTTTAAATAATTCGGCGTCGATTGGCATTTAAATACACGCACACACGCGCACACACACACACACACACACACACATCATCTTTTTTGTTTTTTTATTGTTTTAGCTTTTTCCCTTTGTATATCTTGTAAATCTTCTAAAATGCCACATTTTGTGCTGAAAAATTCTTCTTTTGATATTTGCGCATAATTTGATTCCATGCATTCATCATCCATTTCGTCGTATTTAGAGTACCTGATTCCAAAAAAAAATAGGAATTTTAAATAAAAAAAAAAAAAAATGGCGTTATTTAAAATTAAATTCTTTTCTTACTTATTTTTATCGTATCTGAATATTTCTGAGATCACTTTTGACACATCTTCCGATTCCATATCATTCGTATCATCGTCAATAAAATCATCCAATTCCGAATCGTATTCATCATCGGATTCGATGCAACCTTAAAAAGAAAATCAAAATTAATTTTTTTTTTTTGGGGGGGGGGGGGAGACATTTTCATGCCTGAAACCTTCTACGTTTTCATTTAAAAATTAATAAATCAAACTAACGTTTTTTAAGTGCGAGTCCTTTTCTTCGTACAACACCAGGTGGAAATTTTTGATTTCTCGGAAAATTATTAAATTTTCCTGAGGGTCTAACGTCTTTCGGTGGAAATTCTCGTACAGAATTTCCTTTTTCCGGTACGTTCTTGCTAACGCATTTCAAATTAGGTTTTTGTCCACTTTTGTTAACTCCAGAATTAGATTTGGTTGATGAAGAATCACTTTTCAAATTGGATTTCCCAGTTCCTCCATTCATCGATGATACTTTTGATAAATTTTTATCCCCACCAGGGATTTTTTTCGACGTCGTTCCACCATTCCCGTTTTTCACGTTGCTATTGGATTTTTTCTGGATTTTTTCACTTTCTTCTAATAATTTTAATTTTCTCACAACCTCATCTCTTTCCTTTATCAACTGTTCCTTTTCTTTCAACATTCTAACAGCTTCATCTCTCTCTTTTATCAATCTTTCCTTTTCTTTTAACAATTTCAATGCTTCATCCCTTTCTTTAATGAGTCTACTCGTCGTTTCGTCATCAAGGATTTTATTCTTTTTTTCGGAATTATTATTATTATTATTATTATTTATTGATTTTTTATCAGGTCCCGATTTGATTTTATTATTTTTTTCACTTAATTCTTTTGATTTATTTAAATTTAATGTCCTATCACTTTTATCGAAATTTTTTGTCGTTTTACCACCACTCGATGACTTTTCCACCGATTGTCCACTTGTTGTCAATTTTTTCTGTGATGTTAATAATACTTTTTGTTCCGAATTGGACTGATGATTTATTTTAGGGATTTTCGGAATTGATTTTTTATTTTCCTGATTATGTCCTGATTTTTCAAAACTTTCTATATTTTGCAACCTCATTTCTCTTTGACGTTTCAATTCTAACATTTTTTCATGTTCTAATTTTTGTTTTTTTGTCATCAAAACTTCTGGTTCTTGAGATTTAACCACTTTAGGTTCGAAAACGATCGGTTCATGTTGCTTTTGCTCGGCTATTTTTAATAGTTCATGAAAATCAACCGGTGGCGGTACATTTTTTTTTATTTTAATTTTTTCTGTAAATCAAATTAATTTTTTTTTTTTCAAAAACTATAAAACTATACATAATTGAAAAAAAATTAGTTATTAATAAACTAAAATTTAATACCTTTACTCGATTCCTGATTACTTTTATTTATTTCCCTATCTGATGATACATAATCTGTGGGAATATCATCATCTTCATCTTTTTTATCCTTCAGTTTTCTTTTTTTCCTATGAGGTAATTTATCTTCTTCTTCCTGCCTGAGCAAAGCCATTTTTACTCTTTCCTATAAAATAATAATAATTTTTTCACATCATTGTAGGACAATCACTAAAAATTTTGTTTTAAAGAAATGGCAAACACTTACTTTCGTATTCGATAGGTTACCACCAGTCGGCTTTTTGGAAGGTGAAAATTTTGGAGAATCATTTGATGGTGTGCTATACATTTTCTGTATAAGTTTATTATAAAGTTGAGAAGATAATTCAGATACAAATCCATAATCATCTTCATCAGGTTGAGAAGGACCTAAAAAAAAAACATTTTTAAGAGATAACATTAATAAAATTTATATTTATAAATGTGAGAGTTTATTATTATTATTATTATTATTGTTTAAAAAGGAAATTAAGGAAACAAAAAATTTAAATTAGATATTAGAAAATAACCTGCTAATGTATCTGCTGTATTATTATTATCGATAGCATCTTCCATGACAGATTTGTTGGCACTTTTGGTTCTTTTGAGCATGGTCTGTATTCTTTTATTAGCTTTCGGATCCTTTGCTCTCAATGCCATCAATTCCAATTTTCTTCTTTCTGCTTCCTTCTGTTTTCTTTTTTCTTCTTCTTCTTTTCGAGCCAAAAACCTTTGAACCCCTTCAGACAAAAGCTTATCCTTTTCATGTTGCTCTTTTGTCGGGGGCTTGAATTTAGTTTGAAGACATTTAACAGGCTGTAAATATTTATAAAATCAAATTTAAACCATAAAATATTCACAAACACAAAAAAAAAACATAATTTTCATAATTTTTAAACTAATAAATGATGAAATAATACACCATCACCTGTACTAACTAAAGATAGAGCTTTTATTATTATTATTTTAAAGGTAAACTTTTCGTAATAGAAAAATATGAATTATTACATTGTAAAAATAATATTTAAGAGTTTTATTTGATGGAAAATAATAAAATATCTTTTGCCAACACATCGTGGCAGGGTTTTGTTTAAATAATTAGTTTGTAAAATTAAAAAAAAAAAAAAATACTTGATTCATTAAAGTAGTGATATATAAATGACTAAGCGAAATACCTCTTTTTTAGTAAGTTCATTTTTTCGTGCGACTCGTAATATTTTTTCAAAATCCATTATAAATAATCTACATTTCAAAACTTGATTGATTTAATAAAAAAAAAAAAAAATTTTTTTAGTTTTTGGGTTAAACAATAGTTTCAACATTCCATTTCGACGTCACACTCCATATTGAAACTGTATAAAAATGTCTACTGCTTACGTTGGCGCGTAAATTAATTTTTTTTTTTATTATACGATATTGTAATTTTATTCGACATGGTTTTCTTATTTAAATATTATTTTCTATTTAAGGTAATTATTTCCTTTTATTAATTATAAATTTAAAAGTAAAAATAGAAAATCCTTATTAAATTTAACAAAATTTTATATAGTCGCTCTCTTTATTCTACTTTGCGTTTATATTAAGCCCAAAAAATTTCTAAAAGCAACAACCTTAATATTAACAAACTTATTTATGTAATTATTTATTAAAAAAATTATTAAATAAATCGTATATTATTAATATAATATAATATTTTTTACATAAAATTAATATTAACGTTTATTTAGAGTAAAAAGTTTTGTAAGATGGCCATAAAACAAACGGTCATCTATATTTAGATATTGAAAATCAGTGATGATACAGAATACATTTTGTAAATGTGAAATTTTTAAAAATAATTTTTTGTTTTTTTTTTTTCGTGGTTAATTTAAATTTTTAAAAAAATATCATCAGATTTTACAATAATGTGTTGTTAATCATATCAATTAATTTCATAATTAATACTAAACAATTAAAAGATACATCCCCAAAATACATATTCCACACACATATTAATCAATCTGCTACAAAATCAATTTTTTTTTTTTCTTTTAACAGGCACAATATTTAAAAAATATTTTAAATTTCAAATCAAACTACTTACAATATGAAGAAGAAGAGAAAAAACTACCGTTATGATAAACATTTGAGGTAAATATATAAAATTTTTATTTATTTATTTTATGTTGAAACATATGGGAAACACAATAATAAGGTTTGAAATGAAACGTTATATATAATA